TGAACTCTGCGTAGTTTCTCAGCGGCGCTGTTCCCACGCCTGCTGGTGCCTGGGCGCATGCACGCCGTCCCTCTCCCCGTGGAATGACGTGGTAGCGCCTTGTGCTCTGATGGTGGGTGTGCTCGCCTCTGTGTGGCTCTTACCACTTTTAACCACAGCTGTCGGCTGGTGTATATGTACCTCTGCATCGCAAGGCGTGTGCCATAGGGCTGCCCCCCCAGTACCCAGCCGTGCCTGGGTGCATGCATATACCACCGGGCATGCAAAGGAGGTGTATTGAATCGAATTAGCTGGCTCCTTTCTCTTTTGCCTTTCTGTGTCTGGGATATTGGATGCCAACATCCAGCTAAGTTATGTTTGTGTTAAACATGAATTGAAATGCAATTACAGCTGGCCATGTGGTTTGAGAGCTGAGTAATAGAGTCAGAAGGAAGGGTGACTTAGTCACAAGTGCCAGTTCATCTCCTTCGCTTTCTTGCTCCTGTCATTGAGCATGACTCATGACTCACCAGTTCCACTCGTCTCCTCTTAATCCCATCACTTTAACTCTTCCTGTCCTCCTCGTCTTGCTGGGTCTCTTTCAGCGCCCCTTTGTTAAAACCAGCCAGCAGCCCAGAGCCCGGCCTTGCAGTCTGAGTTGTTTCCTCTTATCCAGCAGGAACCTGTACCACCACTCCGCATGGATGCGGAGAGCGTGGGCAGGGGTGGAGCCCGCAGCGTGGGGCAGAGGGTGTGGGGGAGGCTGGGCCAATGCCCAGACCCGTGTCCTTCCTCAAAGCCTGGGGGAGCCGGGAAGCATCACTGGATTTTCTGCTAATCCCAGGACCTCGAGTTTTCACTATTTTCTTAAGCATATCTTGCCAGGGCCCTGGCTACGGGGAAAACGGTGCCATTTGTTAAAGGTGTTGCCTTCGTACCTTAGACCCACGTTGTTTTCATAGGTGGATTGAACTGCATTCAGAAATGATGGCTTATAATTGGGCCGGCCTTGAGGGCTGGTGATTTGGTCTCATAGAAAAACTCCCTTGTTCTTAAGAAGGCACTCAGATGTCCTGGAGTCTCAAAGCGGGGTCTCCAGGTCTTTCAGACTGTGCCGTGCTTGTTGGTGAGCACTCTCCGGCCCCCCTGCGCCGGCGGGCGTGTCCTTTACACAGGCCCACTCTCCTGGGCTCGGAGGAGCTTTCCTTAAAGTCTGGAGATGGACAGAGCAGAAGAGGGGACACATGCATTCACCAGCAGGGCCTGTGCCTGGCACTGGGAATCGTGAATCAGAGGTGGTCCCTGTCTGCCCGTAATTTACAGACCCGTCACCAGGGAGAAAGTGAGAAAGAGGTGACCCCGGTGGAGCCCCTGTGGGTGGCTCTCTTCCTTCCCAAATGAATCCCCCAGGTGAGGTCTCATTGCTACTTCCTTCTGTCTCCGTTCTTGCTTGTTAATCCTCCTTGTGTAAATCCATTCATTCTGTCCTCATTCTCTACCCCTTCCCACACACACCTGCTGCTGTCCCCGTTCCTAAAAACGAGGAGATGTTGCCACTGCCATCATCCTGTCACCTCCCCACCTTCCAGCCCTGTCTTTGTCAGTAAGCCCTGCCTGCCCAGGGCTCCTACTGCCATCTCTTTGTCATTATTTTCACTCGCCCCTTAGTTCCTAACTGTCTAATTCAGTAGTTTTTTGTTTGTTCGTTTTTTCTAATTCTTGGCCTCATCTCAGCTTTGAATGCTATTGACCAATGTCTTCCTTCCTTAATGTGTTCATTTTCTGAATACAGAACTGACACATGCTCTTTGTAGACAATTGGGAAGACACAGAAAAGTGCAAGACCGAGAATAAAAGTTACAGAATCTTACCAATCAGAGGGAAAATGCTAATAACATTTTGACAGAGACACGCATTCATTGCTTTTGCTAAGAAGTATTAGACATTTTCAACTGAAGCTCTGTGGTCAGGTTGAGCTCTCCATTCAGGATACAAAGTGATACGATCGATGCAAACAAAACCAGAACCAGAAAAACACCTGGAGTTCTTCAGCTCAGCACCAGCCAGGTCGAATGGCTCTTTCCCCTTCGTGGTGTTTAGAAGCACCTGGGGCACCCCTCCTGTGGGATCCGAGGATGGCTGCGCGACCCCTGCCTCCCTGCGCCCGCACTGCTCCGGTCGAGAGCTGACGTGGCTCCGTGGTTGGCCACTGACCAGGCCGACTGTGTTCCACAGAGCAGGCTCTCACACATCAAGGGCCCTTTGAACTCCATTCTTATTCGTAGTGTCAGCCAGATATTTCCTTTGGAATGTCTGCAGAGTTTCCTGGCCCCTGTGATGGCTTTCTGTCTGCCAAGCACGTCTGTGAACTGCGGGTGGGCTCTCGGAACACACCGGGGTGTGAACAGGCTGAGGAATCTGGTGGTTAGCTGTGGTCTTTCAGGAGCTTCTCTTGGGCAAAGTGCTGGCCTGGCCTGGGGCTCCGCTGGACATCTGCTCTACACAGTGTTTCTCAGGCAGATCTTCATTTCTCTCCTCATCAAATGCAGTCTTTTAAATTGTTGATTTTCTTATTATAAAAGTTAGATAGAGTCAAAAGGCATAAACTTCCAGTTGTACAATAAGCAGGTCATGGGGATGCAGTGTACAGCCTTGTCCGAGGCCTGTCATTTCCATGGTGGGACCTGTCATTTCTCCGTAGAAGTGTTAGCGGTGGTTTTCTAAATCCCAGATTTGGTGGGATTCTGTTATTCTGCTTCGGGTAGGACTTTTCCGTTCACTGTGGTGGACACTCAGGACCGGCGACCCCCACCCCTCCTGCCTTGCCTCCTGTTGGCCGGGGTCGGAGGGCATTACACATCTTTGCTTCATTGCAGGTGAGCTGTGGCCTCAGGGCAAGGCCTGGCCTTCGGTTTGGTTGTCCGTTTATAATGCTTCTCAGACTCGGTCCGGGTGGAGAAGGGGGACTCTGAGGACGGGCCGGCCTGTTGCCCTCACTCTGCTGCCCCGGCCTCTCCATCTTGTTCAAGTGTCTTCTCACTCAGACAAAGGGAAGTTCTGCCAGTGGCGGGAAGAGGGAATCATCATTTCCAAACCTGGAAGCAGTAGCCTGGTGTCATGCACACCCATCCTCCGCCCGCCATGGGAGCTGAGGACACAGCTTTCTTCCTTCTGGGGTAGCAGCCTGTGGCTCCTCAGACGTTGAGGGTTCTGCAGACTTGTTTTGAATGTATTAACAATAATGCATTTATTATAGAGAAACCAAATAGGTTTCAGGTGGCATGGCGTTTCTTTGTTCCTATACATTTTTTATTTTCACATTTTAGTGGTTCCGAAATTGAGATGCACCTAAAAATAGATTTGTACATTTTGATATGATGCTTTTCTTTTTTTTCTAAAGGGGTATTTCTTTAAATCTCTGAGTGATCCCCAAATGACTCCATCCTAGAATTTAGGAAATACAGTAAAAGTAGAGTTTGAGAAAAAAATCTTTCAAAACATGGGATCCAAGGAAGAAAACACCAGAGGGGTCCTCGGTAGTGGCCAGTTGGGGCCACTGCGTTAAATCTCATGTTTTTCAAGAAACTTGGTGTGTGACCGTCACGGGAACGTGCTGATGAGGTCTCATCCCGAACTAGCATCTCTCTGTGGGGACGACATCGGCTGAGCGAGCGGTTCCTACATTATGCCCATACATTTCTTCCAGACTCGAGGCCACACATATTTGCGTATTTAGCAGAAGTACCTTTCTCCGTCCTTGTCCTTCCCTTCGTAGCATTTGCTAATTGACCATCGCTGGGTTTGAAAAAAGGCATTTTCCTCTGCCTGTGGGGCTGTGGGCTTTCCTGGGGCAGCCTCCGAGAGTGGCTGTAGGGCTCCGGCACCCTCACTGATGCGTGCGACTGGCCGATGTGCGGGAAGCTGCTCTGTGCGGGGAGCTGCTCCGGCAGTGTCTGTGTGAAGGAAGGAGATGCTCTCAGTAGTTTGTCAGCACGGCCGGGAGGGTGTCAGATCAAGGACTGCAGCCCGAGGCTACGCCTCTCAGGGACGAGCAGGGAGACACCGAGTGCACCCCGCAGGGATGCTGCTCCCTGAGCCTTCCTGGGGTCCCCCTGGGTGCCAGCCGAGGCGCTGGAGGCGACGAATCCTCCGAGGAGATGCTGGTAAGACTCGTGTTAGGCTGCCGAGTGGAGAGCAGCCCCAGCCCTGCCAGGCCGCGGGAGCATCTGGAGGTCCCTGTGCCTCAGCGCCTCCTTCTCCCTCCCATCTCATCACAGGCCCTTCCCCCAACCTCCAGCCTCACACCCGCCCCACCCGCAGCCCGGGCACCGGTCGTGCGAGGCCCAAATCAAGGCTGGCTTCGTCCTTGAACTCTCCTTAGAAGAAAACGCCTGCATCTGTCCACAAGCACTAGGCTTCCTAGTGAGGCTGTAAGCCAGGAACTGGGTCTGCCTGGTTTTTCTAACATGATGCAGTTTCCGGCTTGAATAGCACTCGCAGAGCTGGTGCCCAGAAGATGCGCTGAGGAGCGGGTTTCCTGACACCTGCCCCGGCCCCAGTGGACCCCACTGACAAAGCCCCTGGCGGGCCCCAGGGTCCTGGAGCAGGGCCGCGTCAGCCGCCCACAGCGGTGCCCTCTCAGGTGGCATTTCACACCCCATTGGACGTGTCCCTGCACCCCTACCACCCCCCCCCCCAAGTGAGTGGTAATGAGCAACCTAATGTGCTGACTTCTCCAATCCCTCCTTGGTCCATTACAACAAAAGTTGCTCTTTTCTCATTAGAACCACTTTTGTCAGGGTGTCTTTAATCAATGGCTTCCCCGGGGACAGTATTTTTAGAAGTTGTGTTTTTCACACTCTCCCTTTTCCCCTTTTGGAAGATCTCTTCCCAGGGCCCAGTGAAATGAACTAATGAGATGCCAGGAGACTTCCGGCCGGTGTTAATTGGCACAGGTACGAAGAAGCCGCTCGCGCTCCGTTCCCCCGCCTTACCCGCGGTCCTCTGTCTCTTTGGTGTAGGTCGCACAGACAGCAGATGGTGTGGATGCTGACCTCTGGAAAGACGGCTTGTTTAAATCCAAGGTTACCAGATACCTGTGCTTCACAAGATCATTTTCCAAAGAAAATGTAAGTCTAGTAGTGCCTTTCCGTCTGCTGAGTGAGCACAAGCCACGCATGCTCCTGCCTGAAATTTCCTCCAGTGTTTGTTGTGGCCGATCCTCATCACCATACTCACTCCGCTGTGGTTTCAGTGAACTGGGTAGAATCGGCAGCTCGCGCTGCGCTTCATTGATGAAGAGCGTTATTACCAGGTGCCCCGGTGAACCGTGAATCCCACAAAAATGTTCTCAGGGAACCAGGAACTTCCTCAGCAGCTCCGTGTGCCCACCTTCCCTCTGAGGAGCAAGTCCCTGGTGGCGGGGATGGAGAACTTTCCGGCAGAGCCGGATTGAAAGCTGCCCCACACCTGGAGGCGCAGCTGGAAAGGCGCTGCATGGTCACCCCTTTCCACAGCTTCAGCCCTGGTCCCAGAATGAGTCTTTCCCCGAGTATGACATGGGCCTTCCATTGTGTCTGCAGGTCGGCATTCACCAGTGCCCATTCCTGTTAGTTTTTCATACCCGGGCCCATAAATGGGGGAATTTTTGACGATTCCTATCCAAGCTTTTCCAATAGTGTTTCAATGGCAGCTTTGGGAGAAGGGAGCCCGCTTTCCTAAGTATGTCCCCTGCATGGGGCCTGCCCTCGTCTTCCTGCAGGTACCCCTCCCTGCTCCTGGGACAGCCGCCTGGAGCCTTCGCCCTTTCCGGAGCTCAGCGTTTGGGGCTTCTCCGAGGTCACCTTCTTTTCTCGCCCTGAGAGGGAGCAGGTTTCCGTTCTCAGGGGAGCCTTTTTATTTTGGGCCTAAGTGTTCCTGTCTCTTTCTGATGCAAAGTTGTTTTGAAATATTTTTATTAATTTACTTTTATAAATTTTATAACAGTAAGCTATGCTATAGTTTAAAAAGGAAATAAAAACGGGGCTCTAGCTGGTTTGGCTCAGTGTATAGAGTGTCGGCCTGCGGAATGAAGGGTCTCAGGTTCGATTCCGGTCCAGGGCACATGCCTGGGTTGCTGGCTCAATCCCCAGGAGGAGGTGTGCAGGAGGCAGCCGATCAATGAGTCTCTCTCATCACTGATGTTTCTATCTCTCTCTCTCCCTCTCCCTTCCTCTCTGAAATCAATAAAAATATGTGTGTGTGTTTTTTTAAAGAGAAAAACAGCTTTAGACATCTTCATTCAGAAGCATGAATGGGAAGAGAAACGGTCTTTCTCCCGTCACATAGCCCCACAGCCCACGGTCCGGGCCTGGGGTCCCGGCCTGTCCCGGCCGCGTTTTCTGGATGGAGACACGCGGCTCCCTGGCCACCGCTCTCCCACCGAACATGCCCGTGCTTGTTGCGAAGTCTTTGGAAGGAAGATTACTCACAGCACATGCAGGGCTGGGGAGAAGCCATTGCTTTAATCCCCCCCTAATTACGAGGGTAACGTCTGCTTGTTGTGAAGTGCAGCTTCTAATGGAGGGGGGACAGCCTAGTGCTGCATCCGACATCCTTCTCACCAGACAGGCCGGCCGGCGGCAGCTGTAATGAGCCTGAGCAGGTCCCGGGCTCACCATGCCGCCTGAGGACACGGAGGGCAGGTCTGCAGGCCGGGTTGACGTCCCCCCTGCCCCCCCTTCCCTCTGGCATCGCATTCACACAGGGCATCCCTGCCCCTTTGTGCTGGGAGTTACCTAAACCCTTTTCTGACACTGTTCATGTGTTTAACGTTCGTCGCCCCTCTTCTGTCCGCCGGCCACCCCTGTGTGCAGAGGTCAGCGCGCTCACTGCGCTCGGGGCTGAGGACGGACTCTGGGACGCCCTCGCGCTGCCCAGTGGCTTCACGGTGTCATTTCTGGTCCCTGCTCAGTCTTCCCCCATCGGGCCTGAGGAGGCTTCGGCTCAAAACGGTGGCCTCCCAGGACAGCCATGATCTCGTATACCACTTTTTATTGTTTGTTTGTTGTGTGTGTGTGTGTCTGTGTGTGTGTGTTTGTGTGTGTCTGTGTGTATCTGTGTGTCTCTCTGTGTATCTGTGTGTGTCTGTGTGTGTCTCTGTGTGTGTCTGTGTGTTTGTGTGTGTCTGTGTGTGTGTCTTTGTGTGTGTGGGTGTGTGTGTGAGAGAGTGTGTGTGTGTGTGTGTGTGTGTTTGATTTCTGTCTTTGGTGCATTTCCCCCGAAGGCTGTGGGTTCTTGGCACTCTAGGCCAGAGGAGTCCCCGACCCTTCGTGTGGGGACAGCGACAAGTCTGAAGATGGCAGATGAGTGGCCTGCGCGTGCTAGCTTAGGTGTCACGGGTAGACCTTCTGCAGAGAATGCATGAGTTACCCCTCGTTGAACACTGAAGAGGTGCTCGTTGGGGGCTTCCTTTGTGTGTCTTCCTCCAGGAGGCCCAGGAGGCCGGTAGGGATGTGGGATGAGGACCAGGCTGTGGGGGACCTCTGCCGCCACTTTGAAGCAGCGTAGGAAATAGGTTGCGTTCTGGTTTCAGAAAAAGAACGAATGGGTCCGGTGGTGACATCCAGAGGGGCCCCGGCCGGCCAGGAGTGGACAGGAATGAGGCATAGTTTAATCTGCCGCAGCCGTCCGGGCCGGCCTGCTGTCAGGGAGGACGCGGCGTGGCATAATTTGTACGGCCGGGAAGGAGGGCCGGGGATCTCAAGGCTGGACAGATTCTTAATTAGGTGACTTGAGACTCCCAATGTAGGAGTTTGGGGAGACTCCTTTGGAACTTAAATTTCCTTCCCCCAGTAATGCCATTAATACTGAAACCTGGCTTTGGAGTGACATTGCTTCCTGGGGAAGGATCGAGATTAATTGCACTTTTCATGCCCTGTACTTTCTGCATTACCTGTAATAATAATGTACATAGATTAGGTAGGGAGGATATTAAACAGAAGGATTTATGAACATTTGAATATTAAGTTGGTTATCTGTGGCTACCTTAAATGCAAGGTTGTCAAAAATAATTACAGTATACTAGCAACACTGGCTACCAGAGGCAATATAAATACCCTGAGTCAGTGCATATTGGGCCTTTGGCATGAATCATTTGCTCAACAAGGATTGGGAATACGTTCTTCATATTTATGAGGAGGAAATGAAAGGGAGCACGGGATGGGGGAGGGGAGAGGGACACGCGAAATTAATGGTGTCGCAGACCCACTGTATTAAACCCAGTGCAGCGCAGCCCCGAGCGCGGAGGGGCCCCACGCGGGCTGCGGGAAGCTCTGCAGTGCAGCTCCCGTTTGGTAGGCCCGCGAGGGTTTGTGATGCTTTTAAAATGGCCACAGCACCCGTGTTCTGCTTCACGATCGGGGACATTTGTAGAGTGTGGAGGGTGAGGTCGCTAAGTGGTTTGCAGTTGACTTCCGTGAAACCCAGCTTGTCAAGCAGAAGACACCTGCAAAGGATATTGATGTACGCCCATCCATCTCCGGGGCAGGGACACATACCAGTGTTAATTTCTCAATGCAGAAAGCAGTGATGACATGGAAACGCAGCTGCCATGAAAAAAAATGATGATCGATTAGATGAGGCAGCTCTGGAGGCAGCTCATGTCTGCGAGTTAGGCTAACAGTTCAAACCCTGCACACGGTCAGAGATGTGGCCCGCGCCCATGAGGGTCCCCAGTCCGCCTGCCGCACTGCACTGGGCGCTGCTTCCCCGAGGCAGCCACCGAGGCAGTCTAGTAGTAAGCGGTGGGCAAGCAGAGTTCTGTGAGAAGGAAATGGTTTTGTGATAACAGGCCCTGGTGTGCACGGATTCATGCACCGGTGAGGGCGAATGGGGGGAAGGGGGGTGGACAGCCTGGGGGAGGGACCACAGGAGGTTCGCCAGTTACAGGAGGTTGGCTGTGTGAGTGCACTGACCACCAGGGGGCAGTTCCTGCATTAAGAGTCTGTCCCCTGGTGGTCAGTGCATGTCATAGCAACCGGTCATTCAGTCGAACAGTCACTTAGGCTTTTATATATATGTAAATTTAATATATATATATTAAATATACTTTTAATGTTTTTATTGATAGAGTTTAGATTCATCATCCCAGCAAATCCAATCTTATTTCTGACTTTGAGCAGCCCACCCAGTTGAAAATGTACCAAAAAACATTAATTTTTTTCACCAAATAATGACTGACCACCTAATGTGTGCCAAGAGCTGTGCAGGGCTTGGATTTACAGCAGTGACAGATAGTTTTGGTCCTGGCGGTTCTTAAAATCTAGGGGGCAGACAGATGTTAAATAACCTTGAAAATGTGCCATTATAAATTGATACGAAGGAAAATAGTGCCAAGAGAGAATAGAGCGGAGAGTGTAGATGGAAAGAACTCCCGAGTGGCCTTCAGAGAGTGTGTCCGCTGGCATTGGGCAGAGGGCAGGGGCTGGCGCCCATGCGCAGAGACGGACACAGGCCTGAGGAGGTGCTGTGGAGGCCGGAGTGACGGCTGGCCATCTGGGTGCTTGTCCAAACACGGAGCAAGAGCCCGAGCGTGCTCACACGGGCGAGGTGCTTCTGGGAAATGGGCACGCAGAGTGCGTGGCTGGCATCCTGACTGGCGAGATGGGGATCAGCAGCCATCCGTCTTTCCTTAACTGGCTCTGCCAGAGCGGGGGAGGTAACTGCAGGTACGAGGAAGGCTTTAATGACGTCTTCGGGGTAGCCCCCGTATTGAAGTTGTAGGGTAGGTATCTTTAGAGCTCGTTTCCAGCGCGTTCACTGATAATTCTCTCTCGCAGTTACAGGGGGTGGGAGCCGTCTTCGGAAGACGTTTTTGCACTGGTTACAGCAACTGAGCACCACGGACCCCATATACCACCACTAAATAGAAGCTTTAAGAGGCCCTGGTGCGTGTCATTCTGGAACATGTGTAATAGTGAGGCAGCAGGGCTTTTCACGCCGTGTTTTATGATTCTTGGGATTTTACAGAATGTATCTAGCAGCCGAAATGTGTGTCAATATGCAGGCTGGCAACCACTATTTGCTCTCTCTAACCTGTTGGGCCTGAGAGCTGGTCCCGGGACGTGTGCACAGCTGCCCTCTTCTGGTTATGTCTCCGGAAACTCCTTCCCGGGCCACCGAGTCCTCGTGTGACTGCTGGGGAACAGTAGGTGGCACCCACCCTAACTAGCCTGCTGTCGTCAAGCTGCAGGAGTCATGGTGTAAACCTGCATCTCGAAGCCCAAACAGCAAACGCACCACAGGCGTGTTTGGATTAATCGTCTGTCTCTCTCCTCTTTCCTCCCAAGAGTCATTTAGGGAACGTGTTGGTGGACATGAAGCTCATTGACATCAAGGACACTCTGCCTGTGGGCTTCATCCCGATCCAGGAGACGGTGGACACACGTGAGTCCCCCTTTAGTACTGCTCATCGCAATGCCGGTTTCCTTCCGCCAGGTATATTTTTAGATATTTTTTTGTGCGCATTTTTCTTTGGAAATATTTTAGGAGTCCCTACTGCTTGCCCATGAATAAACTCGTGTCTGACTCAGTTCTCCCAGGAGTTCGTAGCGTTCCGGTTAGCACCCTGTAA